AAAATGGGAACCATGTGAGAGCAAGTGGAAATAGGTGAAGTGACGTGCTTTGCTATTCATAGCGAGTCTCGTATTGAGTTGTCTTTTCTTGAATGTGACTTCTCGCGATTTGTACTGAGAACAGGTAAAATATTTTAGTGTTCTCCTTTCTCTTTGCTCCACAGCTGAGATGATCACCAAGTTCAGCTCCCCCCAGATAATCTTTCTTTTGTGTGATGGCCATGGGGCTCCTGGCAGAGCAAAATGACCAACCTCTAGAGGTACCATAAAAGCAAGGAATGAAAATGAGGTATTATTCCCTTGTTTTCTTCAGTGAGCGTATTGCTCATTTTAGTAGTCAGCATGGTGAGGTTTTTTGCTTTCTCTGCTCCCCTTCTACAAAAACACCCTGCCATCCATATTCTTGCTTTCATACTGTCAAGGTTTTGTGCGTGTTGTATTCTGCTGTGAATACTGTTGTCCCCATCCCTGCTGCTCCTCTTCATCTCTCCTGTCTCTAAATACATAGCACGCGGCGTTTACCTACCTAGAGAAGCACCATCTTAATTTTAAGGTCAGACTCCACTTACACTAGTAGTCTTCTTTTCAAAGAAATAATGTACAACATAAAGCTCATTGTCTGAGCATTAAAAAATGACACATACTCCACAGTCTTCGGGGCAGGTGTCTTCCATGGCTCCTTTGCTAGTATGGCATGGTACAACGTACGTCCTTCCCCCCCTGGAAAGGACAGTCCTTCGTGATAACCCATCTGTCCAGCAAGGTCCGTGGCCTTCACGTGTCCATCGTTTCTGTTGCTGGTTTCCTTAGGCTGTTTGGTCTTCTCAGTTGCAGAAATGCTGACGGACCTTTTCTCTGTGTGCGTCTGCAGTCATCGGAAACCGCGTGCAACTCACTCCACTTACCGGCTCAAAGCCTGCAACATCTGAGAATCGAGTGTTGGCTTTATATTGGTTATAATTGGCTTTCGTTTTTATGACGAGATTTACTTCCATTTTATCTTCTCGGTTCTGCCAGTTAATGGGACTGCACGGAAACAAAGTCCGGTGCTTTTATGATTGCTGCGGGAGTGTAATGGGCAAGGAGAAAGATTTGGTTTCAGGGCTGGAGGGAGACTGGGTGCTCGTTGAAGTTTGCCAGATTCGCGATTCACAAGTTTACTCGCCTCGTCTTTCTCTCCAGCCATTGGGAGCCTTTCTTGCGGGGTGCCAGCTCTCGCTTCTCTGCTGTGCCGTCCAGCTGCACGGGAAGTGGTGCCCGCTTACTAGAGCTCTTAATTCAGAGGTTCTTGAGCTCACAAGTGCCCACGGCTAAAGTGCGCTCTTCAGCGTCTGGAAAGGCCAGGGCAGGCTCATGAAAGTGGCTCTCACCAGCCTCAGAAATTGTTTTTGCTCACGCCATTGTGTGACTTATTTCACATTTGGGCAGGCTTCAAGTATGTGGGTTTAGAAACAGCTTGTTTTGGAAGAAGTCACTTTTCAGACATTTACCAGATGAACTGTTCTAACGTAATCCCTACTCCGTTCTGCTGCGCTCTGCGGCTTCGGTATGGAGATCCTGCAGGATTTCGTTTAGTCCTTATCTGATTTCACACAGTATTGCTTAGGAATTCGATTTCCCCCCACTCCATGCTAGACAAGCACTTGGGAAACCTTTTGTCTGTGCTCTGATTGTCCTTTGTTTCTGCTTGTTTGCTGGGGTGACTTTTTTTTTTGAGAACTGAGAATAGTAATAGCGTCTGTTTTTTACATTGAAAACAATCCAGGTGTGTTCTGGTGACAGTTTGAATCGGTGTGATTAAACCTCAGTAGGGCTTGTTACTTTAATGGTCTGGAAATTGAAGAGAATAAAACCTACTTTAAAAATTGGGGTGATTAGTAAATTATATATTTTTGTGGGTGTTCCCATATACATGGCGTCATTTTTTCAGTATATCTTCCCATGTACAGATTAATAGTAAATGCACTTCCAACTCCCTACAATTTTTGGTTTGGGCTTGCAAGTTGCTGTGTGCCGTGTAGTATGCAATCTAAATGACAACCAGTTGAACAGATTCAAAGCACCGGAGGAACAAATTAAGATTCTGCCTGCTACCATCTAGTGCAAGAGACAGAAATTGCAGCCGATTATCAAAATCCCAATCGTTCTTTTAGCACTTTCCAATTTGGCAAGGCTCTCTCCACGAGTGGGCTTTTCTTTATTCCTTGATGTTGAGGAATTGGATAATTTTCCAGGATTGATGAAGACTATGGCTTTGAGTGCCTGCATCCTCATAGTTTTTATGACATTTATAAAATGCCTGTGCACTATG